GATATTGCTGCAGTGTCTACGTATGTAGGGCTACCAGAGGATATGGCGGCAGTGTCTACGTATGTAGGGCTACGAGTAGATATTGCTGCAGTGTCTACGTAAGTAGGGCTACCAGTAGATATTGCTGCAGTGTCTACGTATGTAGGGCGACCAGTAGATATTGCTGCAGTATCTACGTATGTAGGGCTACCAGAGGACATGGCGGCAGTATCTACGTACGTAGGGTTACCAGTAGATATTGCTGCAGTGTCTACGTATGTAGGGCTACCAGAGGACATGGCGGCAGTATCTACGTACGTAGGGTTACCAGTAGATATTGCTGCAGTGTCTACGTATGTAGGGCTACCAGAGGACATGGCGGCAGTATCTACGTACGTAGGGTTACCAGTAGATATTGCTGCAGTGTCTACGTATGTAGGGCTACCAGAGGATATTGCTGCAGTATCTACGTATGTAGGGTTACCAGTAGATATGGCTGCAGTATCTACGTACGTAGGGCTACCAGAGGACATGGCGGCAGTGTGTGCAATAGTAGGGGAGCTGTTGAGGTCGGTGCCCTCACGCGGCGAGCGTGAGATGGGCGCATCAGGCCGCGGCGCATGCTTGCGCGCGTGAACCTTCAGTGCGATGCGCTTGCTAAACGATGCGTCGCAGGCACCACACGAATACGGCGTTGCCTTCTCCTGCGCCGTGGCCGCTGCCTTCTCCTGCGCCGTGGCTGCTGCCTTCTCCTGCGCCGTGGCTGCTGCCTTCTCCTGTGCCGCCGCAGCCGTCTCTCTTGCATTGCTTGCCCGCTGCTCCGTCAAGCCGCTGCCGGGTCCTCGTCGTTCCTTCAAGGGGGCGCCGGGGTCGCCGCGGCCCGCGCCGCTCCGCAATCCTAGCGCTTCTCGCCGAGCGTCGACGGTCGCGCTCCGAAACTGTCCGCTGCCGGGAACCCGCGCTGCACCGCCGCCGCCGCCTCCCAACGTCTCATCGTCGTCGTCGTGGCAACCGCGCAGCTCGTGCGCGCGGCACTTCTTCAGTGAGGAGAAGCGGACGGCGCACGCGGAACACGAGTAGGGTTTCGGCGTGTTGTGCGCGCGGTGCACATGCAGCTTGAGGTTGCGCGACTGCGCGAACGACCGTCCGCACACGGTGCAGTCATGCTCGCCCCCACCTACGCCTCTGCCGCCACCACCGCTACCTCCGCCTCCTCTGCCTCTGCCTCCGCCTCCTCTGCCGCTGCGGCTTTTGCCTCTGCTGCTGCTGCTGCCGCCTCCCTTGAGGCCGTGCGCGAGGTTCATGTGGATGCGCATGTTGCGCGGCTTGGCGAAGGTCTTCGCGCAGATCTCGCACACTGCCGACGCCGCCGCCGCGCTGGCCGGCACGGGCGAGCCGTCAGCCAGCGCGCCGTGGCCGAGGTTGAGGTGAATGCGCAGGTTGCGCAGTGTCGCGAACGATCGGCCGCACAGCTTGCAGTCGAACGGCGGCGGGGGCGGGGGCGGGGGCTGCGCGGCGGGGGCGGGTTTGCTGTCGAGCTTGCCCGGGTTGTGCGTGTAGCTGTGCGCGAGCAACGCGCCGTAGTCGCCGAATGCTTCCGGGCAGATGTCGCACTCGTACTGCACGAAGGTGCCCGCTGCAGAGGCGCCCCCTCGCGCTGGTACCGCCGCCGCCGTGACCCCCGGGGGATCGCCGCTCGGGGTCGTCGTCGCTGCGGCGGCCGGAAACTGCGTGTCCTTCCGCTCGCGCAAGCGCCGGTCGGCCAGCTCGTGGACGCGCGCGTGGCACGTCAGGTGCGTCTTCTGCGCAAAGCGCTTGTCGCAGCGCGCGCACGCGAACGGCCGCTCGCCCGTGTGCAAGCGCGCGTGCGTCTTCAGGTGCGAGCTCTGCGCGAACGTCTTGTCGCAGATGCGGCAGCGGTGCGGCCGTTCACCCGTGTGCACGAGCCGGTGAACCTTCAGCTGCGCGAGGTTCGTGAAGGCCTTGTCGCAGGCGTCGCACGCGTGCGGGCGTTCCCCCGTGTGCGCGCGCATGTGCTTGCGAAGGTAGCTGCGCGACGCGAACGTGCGCTCGCAGGAGTCGCACGCGTGCGGGCGTTCCCCCGTGTGCGTGCGCATGTGCGCCTTCAGGTTGCTTAGCTGCGTGAACGCGTGGCCGCAGACTTCGCAGCTGTGGCGCTTGCTCGCGGCGTGGATCAGCGCGTGCTTCGAGAGCGCCGAGCTGGAGCCGAACGCCTTGCCGCACGTGCCGCACGCGTACGGACGCTCCCCGGTGTGCGAGCGCCGGTGCGAGAGCAGGTTACCGCAGTAGGCGAACGTCTTGCCGCACACGCCGCACGTGTACGGCCGCTCGCCCGTGTGCGTGCGCGCGTGGATGCGCAGGTGAACCTGCTGCGCGAACGTCTTGCCGCACGCGACGCACACGTAGGGACGCTCGCCGGTGTGCGTGCGCGCGTGCGACTTAAGATTGGACGCCTGCTTGAAGCGGCGGTCGCAGAACTTGCAGCGGTATGGCCGCACGTCCGTGTGCACGCGCTCGTGGCAGCGCGCCGCCGTCGCCGTCGTGAACGCCTTCGAGCAGACGGAGCACGAGTAGGGCTTCTCTCCCGTGTGGACGCGCGCGTGAACCTTCAGGCTCTCGTGGTGCGCGAACGTGGCGTCACACTCGCGGCACTCGTACGGCCGCTCGCCCGTGTGGACGCGCGCGTGCGAGCGCAGGTGCCCCGACTGCGTGAAGCGCTTGTCACAGACGCCGCACACGTACGGCTTTTCGCCCGTGTGGATGCGCGCGTGCGTGCGCAGGCCCGTGCGCAGCCGGAAGCGCTTCTCGCACACCTTGCACTTGAAGGGTCGCTCGCCCGTGTGGATGCGTGCATGCAAAAGGGCGCCGGTCGCCGTCGAGAACGCGGCGCGGCAGTAGCGGCAGCCGTACGGACGTTCCCCCGTGTGCGTGCGTGCGTGTGTATATATATATATATATATATATATATATATATATATATATATATATATAATATATATTGCACATTCCTAACAAAAAGCGCCTTTTTATTTAAATAATAATGAGTAATCACAAATGTAATAAAAAGTAATAAATATAATAAAAACGTATAAAGTAATAATAAATTAGAACAGAATGTGTTTTTAGAAGAACAGAAGTAGAGAATTTGTGATGGAAATTTAATCGCAGTTGCGGTCATATTAAAGGACTCCCCGAGCGTGTGTAAGAAGAGGGGGAGAAGAGAAGAGGCAGGAGATGGCCCTTGTATTGTGTGACTTAAGTGTGTTGTCTTCCCAATCACCGAACTCTGCAGAACTTTTTAGATAGCATCGTAAACCTTCGTTTACCATCGTTAGCCTTTGCTACCCTCTAAATGACTTACCAGAGAATAAATGAAGAGAATTATCGCGATAGGTCTCTCGGCTGACTTATGCTATTTTGACCACGTGCTGCCACCTACTGTAATAAAATAGTGCTAATGACATAGACTTGGTTTATATATATATATATATATATATCAAGAGCTAATCATGGTATATATATGAAGTGTATGTGTGTATGATAGAGGGATAAACTACCTCGTTCACATTATACTAGCTATCTGAGGAGTGGAAGATTCATTCAGTAACGAACTGCTTATTGATGAAATAATTACGCGTTTACTAGAAAGAAGTAAAGAAGAAATTCACCTCGATTATGCGCTATAAATGACAACCGCGTTCCGAAATTGTAGCACGTACGCTGACATTTAGGACAAACTGCCACAGTCTTCAATCGCTGTTACGTAATGAAATACGAACGCCACGCGGTATGTACACCCGTCAGTTATTATGCAGACAATGATGAAAGGCAGCCATACCAGTTTCCTGATCATAACCAAGATGATGAGGCCACGTGCAGGAAATACATTATTTAAATGACTATTTACCAGCAGCGATCCTATTACGACATCGACGGATACATTGTGTCAACCTATATCGTTTCTCCGGTCTATAAACGTAACCTCAATAGTCAAGCTATGGATGAATATGCATCACGTATCGCACAGTTAGGTATATTTATCTCTCTCTCTACTAACTATCTAACTAACTAACTAACTAACTAACTAACTAACTAACTAACTAATTAACTAATTACCTAACAACAATATAACTAATTAATAATTACCTAACTAACTGACTATCTATCTATCTATATAGCTAGCTAACTAACTAACTCGCTCACTAACCAACTAACTATCCCGCTACGCCTGTCACCAACATGCGGAGGCGCTGCTATTCTGAAGCCACCACAGCTTACGCTGCAGCAAACACTGCAAACGCTGTGACGACGAGCGTGTAAGGGGTCTACAGTTGTCTAGTGAGTCTAGGTTTGCTGGCGATGCAGCGAAATTAGTCAACTAATTACTCGTAAATTAATTCATCGCCACCGGCGCTACGCAGCTGTCCATCGCTGCGTTAGCCGCGAGTAGCTGAGGAAGAAAGAAAAAGAGAGGGGGAGGGAAGTCGGAGGGGAGAGAGAGAGAGAGAGAGAGAGAGAGAGAGAGAAAGAAAAAGAGAGAGGAGGGGAGAGAGAGAAAAAGAGAGAAAGAGAGATGAGGGGAGAGCGGGGGTGAAATGAAAGCGAGAGAGGTGGGAAATGGTAAAGAGATGTGGTGTGAGAACGAGGGGACAGAGGGAGATGGGAGAGAGGGGGGAGGGAGAAAAGGAGGAACGAGAGAGAGGGAGAAGCAAGCGGGAGCGGGAGAGTAAAAAAGAGAATGAAATCGAGAAAAACGAAGCTGTCGTGTGGCTTCGAATGCGGATTTTCTGCTCCGATTTGCCATCCTCTTCTTCTTCTTCACATCCTCCTGCTCCCACTTCTTCTCCTCCCTTCTTCTCCCTCCTTCTCCTCCTTCCCCTCCTCTTCCCCTTCTTTCTCTACCTTTTCATTATTATCGTTCCCCTCCTCCTTTTGTCTCCACCCGTTTCCTTTCCTCCCCCGTTCCCCCTAGTCGCTCCTTCTCCTCCTCCTCCTGCTCTTCCCCTACTCCCCATCATCTCGCCCCGAAGACAATCAGATTTACCGGGTGTTTGGGATCGACCGCTAATGCTTAATATCTACGCAGATTTCTGGTCGATTCCTGTTGCAATATTAGATCTCGGACGAAAATTCCAATTACTCGAGTGAGGTTTTTGTAAAAGCATATACGTTTCGAAAGCCGCTTTCCTGGTTGCGCACAGCTTTTGCGGTTTCGGAAATGGCGCGCACGCGTGCGTGTGCGTGAACCGGTGTTAGTGTGTAAGATTACGCCCATGGAAAGGCGCGTTTGTGCACCCGTGCGTTCGTGCCTACGTGCGTGCTTGTGGGTGCGCTAATGCGTGAGTACATGTCTGCCTGTGTGTGCGTTCGTCCGTATGTGCATGTGCGCGCGTGCGTGTGTACGCGCATCCATTCGCACGTGCGAGAGTCTGTACATCATACGTTTATATCAGTGTGTTTGCGCGCGCGCGTGTACGTGCGTGCATGTGGGATATAATATCTCTATATATAGTATATAGTAGTATATATAGTAGCACCAGCTTCTTTATCTGTGTGCTAGACTCGTCCGACGAAACAACGTGTGAAGTCGCTTCATTTCCTCCGCATTTCTTTCCACCAGAAGTCGCAGGTGTCGTATTCCAGGCAATCAGTGACCGCAGTCTGAAAGAGAGAAAAGGCTAATAGAACACGACCGATATTTTCTACCGGTATTCACAGCCGTGTATGTTTTAGTTAAAAGCAGTGAGGCCAATGATGCTGGCTCGTGAGTATTTTTTTCAGTGAGAGGAGAGAAAACCGCATCCACGCGCGTGGACTTGTTCGCGCAATCTCCCGGCGTTGACAAATTCTATCATCTCCGATTTACCGATTGATTGCTCGCGACAAAATAGGCTGAACGCGCGGGAGTGTGCTTTCTCTTGCGAGTCGTGTTCCATCACACGGAGTACAGCACGCACGAACCGCGCCTCGCGCACGCACATCGCAATGTCACGTCATCAAGTGTTTGGTAAATGACAATCAGTGACAGCGTCGGCGACAGCTGAGCCCTCTGGCGGCCAGATAGCAGATGCTTGAAATTGAAGCCAAAGAGGTAACCGTGTTAGTCTCCTTTCCCAAACCGATGAAACTTCTAGAACTGAGTAAATACGTAGGCGTAGCTGCGAGTTAAAGATAGTAGTTAAAAACGTTCCAATAGCGCGGTAGTTTTCTCCCCGAATGTGCGGCCGATTTTGACTCCCACCAATTTTGTATGAAAACCTAATTTCCGTGTGTAAACAGTAGTTAATCAAAGATCTAAGTGTGAATTAAACTGTACGCGTCCATCATAGAGTTCGATTCGGTTACGGCTCCGGCTTCTTCTACCTTCCTCCCCTCTCTCCCCCTACTCTACTTTCCCCTATCTCCCTCAGTCTGTCTCATTATCTCTTTTTTCTTTCTCTCTCTCTCCCTCTCTCTCGCTTTCTCTCTCTCTCTCTCTCTCTCTCTCTCTCTCTCTCTCTATCTCTCGCTCCCTCTCTATCGCTCTCTAGATCAATCTATTGGGCCAGCTCTTTTACTCTATTGTTAGAGCACTTATGCTAACTCTAACATCCACTTACACTATTGTACAACCTCATTGTGAGCCCTGTGTTGGCCCTTCTGGGCCACCACTCATCTACTCAGCGTTATCGCTCACGTCAGATAGATAAATACCTGCGCACAATAGATCTCTAATGCCATGGCTCGCATGATCATGCAACACGTTTGTTTAAATGTTACGTTTAGCCGCGAATACAGATGAAGTCTGCTTCCGCTTGTATCTATGCTAGACTGTGCAGTCTCAAGCATCTCAAAGGAATCTCACATATGAGATCCTACACCTTCACTCTACGGTCGATGTTCCTATACGTTGGCAAAAGGGCGCTAAAGCCGTGATGCTTTCGGCTTATTCACTAACCCGCCTACTCACCCCTCTTCGCTTTCGTGCTTCGCCCACTTCCGCGAATTTTCCTGCGACAACTACAGTAACAGTGGGCGTGACTGCGGGGCGTGCTGCGCTTTTCAACGTAGCGCCAATCTCATAAAAGGCGTTATATACTATTGCTATATATAATGCTGCTCACCCTCCTCCTCGTCGCTCCGCGGGGGCGCCGCCTTCTCCGCGTCGGCGTGCGCGGCTGCGCGGTGCGCCGTGAGCTCGTTGAGCTGCGAGAACGACGCGTCGCAGCGCCCGCACTCGTACGAGGTGAGGCTGACGGCAGCGGTGTCGGTGTCGTGAGTGCGCACATGCGCCTGCATGCGCTTCAGGTGCGTGAAACCGCGCCCGCAGACGTGGCACTGGAACGGCTTGGCGTCGGCGTGCGAGCGAGAGTGCGCGCTCAGGTCCTCCTTCGCCGCGAACGCGCGGGGGCAGAGGTCGCAGCGGAGCGGCCGCGCGGCGCCCACGCCGCCGTGCGACGCGCAGTGGAACAGGAACTCCGACTCGTCCGCGAACCCCACCTGGCAAACGACGCACGTGAAGTTGTGCCGCTCGGCGGACTGCGTCGTCGTCGCCGAGGGCGACCGCCGCCCGCCGCCGCCGGTCCGGTGGCTGCGCAGGTGGTTCGACAGCTGCTTCGGCTTGTCGAACGTCGCCCCGCACTCACCGCACGCGAACGTTCCACCCGCAGCGGCTGCGTCGAGCGTGCACGCGTGGTTGGCAAGCTGCGACGGCTTGAGGAAGGCGGCGGCGCACTTGTCGCAGCGGTAGACGAGCCCCGCGGCCTCTATCGCCGCGTGCTGGTCGGTGTGCCGCCGCAGGTGGTGTGGCTGCCGGAACGCGGCCGCGCACAGCGAGCACTTGTACGGACGCTCGCCCGTGTGAATGCGCATGTGCACCTTCAGCGTGCCCTTGCTGAAGAACGACTTCTTGCAGACGGTGCACTCGCACGGACGGCGACCCTTCCACGAGCGCGCGCTCACCGCCGACGACGTGGCGCGCAGCTCCGGCACGCGTCTCTTCTCCTCCTCCTTCTCCTCCTTCTTCACGGCGGCGCAAACGATCACGGACCCGGAAGAATCGCGGAGGTCCTTGATCAGGGCGTCGACGGGCGTCAGTACGATGCGCGAGCCCCGCAGCTTGACGTCGGCTGTCGTCGCGGTGACGTCGTTGCTCGCCATCGCCTCGCTCTCGCCGAGCCACGGTGTGATACTGAGAACGTCGTCGTCGTCGTCGTCGTCGTCCGCAGTGCCCTCGCTTCCATCCGGCAGCATCCTTGAGATGGAGTACGCCGTCGTCACCGTGCAGATGCTCTCCGGGCTCACTTCCCGTCGCCGCGGCGACGGACAACCCGCGGATGAGCCGAGTCCCACGTCGTCGCCGAGGTAGGAGTCGGGGGGATCACTGTCGTCGTCATCGTCGGGGTCGAGGGGTTCCAGCTTCGGGACGACCCGCGGGTCGAGCGCGCGGCGGCCGGCGGCGCCCTCTGCGCGTGCCACCGCGGGACCGCCGCCGACGTTCCTATCAGCCGACGTCACGTAGTTCGCCGCAGAGCGGAGGTCGTCGTTGCGTTGTTCGACGCCGGGCCGCCCGCCGTCGCGGCGGTCGTCGGGGTCGTGACCCTGCGAGACGAGCATGACGCAGTGCGTGCGTTTCGCGTGCTCGACGAAGTCCTGCTCGCTGTAGAAGCACTCGCTGCACGCCTTGCAGCGGTAGTGCAGCAGCACCTCGCTCGCGCGGAGCTCCGCGTGTGCCGCTGTCGTCACCATGGCAATGGGCGCGGCGTTCCCTGGGCGACGTCGCGTAATGGGTGTGGTCGCGTGACGGCGGAGGTGGCGGCGGTGCGATCACATCTAGACAAATAAAAGATGAATTAGCATGCCGTTAAATGGATGTCGAATGTGATTAGAGGATCCGGGGTGGTGGCAAACTGGATAGGCCACAAATGATCTGTGGTTTGAGGCCCACCCCGATTGATTCACTGCTGCTAAGAGCCCGAGACTTTATCTTGATTTGTTCCGAGGAGGACGTGACATTTGTATCACTAGCTAGGAGATAGGTTTCACCACCAACCCTAGCTCCAAGAAACGATCTTGCTAGGGTTAGAAGACTGTTTCAAACATTGGCTGCAGCTAAACATGTAGTTGTCTTATTTGCCAAGTATCGCCAAAGAACACTTCACGTGATATACTAAATGAATCAGTATACATCCACCTTCTTGTAACCATCAGTGCGCTACGATGCGCTGGGTACTTACGGGGTTACAGCGACTTTTTGAGACGAATGCAACCAAATTTATGAATTTGCCACCATGTTGCATCACTCCAACTGTGACTAAAATCCGCAAAGGAAAATTAAACCATCTGTGATCCTCATGTAAACCACCCCTACATCCGAAAACATGTCATCTAAGGTTTTTACAAATGGCCCAGACATTTGTGAACATCGTTTCACTTGCTTTGGTGTGTAATTGCCGTGAGAGCCATCGTGCAGCTATTGTACTATTTTTGTAGTATTTTCTAGTATTTCGCTCTTCCGTTGAGCATGTGCAGTGTAAACATGGCAGGTAAACAAGCAATAAGCTGCTTGAAAAGTTGATATGCTGTGAGAATTAGCAGATTATACCATGAATTAAAAGATACATTCTAGTTTAGAAGCAGGACAACTGTGAGTTAACATTCATATTTCAAACAAGGCAAGTCAAAGGTAGTAATAGAATAGTTTTATTTGAGATATACAGAGTTATTCATCTAGATCTGCAGAGGTGATAGGTTTTTTGTATGTTATGTTATGTTATGTTTTCGTACTTGTCGGTGTCCACTACATTGGATATAATGGCAAAGTAGTAAGTGCCTTCACGGATAAACCCAATAAACAAACAGGTGCATAATCAGGCTTTCATTTTTAAGGGGCGCGATCGCGCTCGCGCTCCACCGCGCACCCGAAATTGTGCCATGGTGCCGCGCATCATCGCGCGCTCATTAAAACTGGGTGAAATCGCGCACCAAAGTATGTCTATTATGTTGAAATAGCGCTCCATCGAGTTCTCAATGTAGGGGGCGTACAAAAAGGTTAGCCAACACACAACAATTTGTGTTGTGTAAGTGACGGAAGTATGGCAGAGGTACAGGTTCTGGTTACTACCCTCTGGTTTATATATATTATATATAAATACAAAACTAACAAAGCATCCAAATACAGGTACCTATACGGTTGCCACAAGTTACCTGCTCGTTTTTTACTATACGTGGCGAAAAGTTGGTTTTCTGCCAGTGAAACAGTCGTAGGCTGAGAGGCTACATAGCTGGCTGCTACGTACAAGTAATTGGTCTAGTTGTTGATGATTGTGATTGATATTTTGCTGCTGAAATTGCAGGCTACATTGGATTAGAATCTCTAATGATGGAAATCAGAATAAATATAAACAAGTTTTTTTTACATCAGTAGATTTATTTTATCAGTAGATCTATTTTTTAAATCGTAGATTGACATGACATCCCAATTTTCCGTTTTGGATTTCACTATATGGATGGAGGCATTGGTCATGGATTCCATCATCACACAAGAGGCATGATGGAGAGCCTCAAAGGACAGCTCTCATCATCCCTTTTTAAAGGTGTGATTTTAGTGGAGCTCTCCATATGCTCTTAAGGGTGTGATATTTTTTAGTGGAGCTCATTCCATCATGCCTCTTAAGCGGGTGCATTTATGGAGCAGTGAAATGACCCCCTTATGGTGTCCTAGGGGAGTCATTAGTAGTCCTCCTGTACTTTTCAAATCTGAAAGCCTGCATAATGATGATGTGAGTGCAATATGCAACTGGTGTCCTCTTAAAGTGGGTTCGCGTACATGTGGGAGTGAAGCCTTGACTTAAAAATGTCAACGTCCGTTGCGTCCACAACACCCACGGGTAGGTTGTTCCAGATTGGAACCATCCGGGGGAAAAAGGAGAATTTGAATGCGTTGTTGTTGCAGTGCAGGTGCCGAAATTTGTGGGAGTTTTTCGATCTGGTACCTGACATCCCCGGGATCAGATATCTATTCGCAGGTATTGCTATGAGGTGGTTTACAACCTTAATTATACATCACTACACTCGAGTTAAAGCGTCTGCGATACATAAGTTGTTGCCACCCGAGTTAGTCCTTAAGAGCTGACGTACTGCTATATCGCCCATAGGTGTTTGTAACAAATCTTGCAGATCTGTTTTGAATATAATTTCTAGCTTATATTTATATTTCCCACACTGATGAGCAGTAATCCAGGCTTAGTAGTACAAGAGTTTTGTATGCTCTTTCCTTAATGTGCTGATGGCTGCAGACCAGATTTCGGTGCAGGAAGCCTAACAATCTGTTGGCCTTCACACATATGTTGTCAATGTGGACGTTCCACCTGAGGCCACTGTCTAGGTGAACTCCAAGATATGGGTTGGACGTGACATACTGCAGTGAAGATTCGTAAATGCGGTAGATGTACTTATGATGTTTTTTTGCCAGAAGGGAGATATTAATGATGTAGCACTTGCTTGCGTTAAATTCCATCTACCATGTCGATGTCCATTGTACCAGCTTGTCAAGATCGTCTTGAAGCGCTTTCTGGTCTTACTGGTTGCTAATCTTGCGGTACAATAAACAATCATCTGCGAATAATCGAGCTTGGGATGCAATGTTGTCTGGCAAGTCGTTAATAAAGAGGAGGAATAGGAGTGGGCCTAGTACAGTTCATTGTGGAACTCCTGAAGTGACAGCAGTCCAGTCAGAGAAGCCTCCTTCTACAACTACACGCTGGGTACGCTGGGTGAGAAAAGCTGCTATCCAGCGTAAAAGTTTTCCACGGATACCATAATGGTCAAGCTTCTGAAGAAGGCGTTAGTGTGGGACCTTGTCGAAGGCTTTACTAAAGTCGAGTATTATTACATCCATCTGCTTCCTGTTGTTAATGCTGGTTGCAAGGTCCTGAGTTGTTATCAGCAGCTGGCTCTCATAGGATCGATTACTACGGAAGCCATGCTGGTTTTCAATCAGTAAATTTTTTCCGTTGAGGTGATTGCTGACTTGGCTATTTATGATATGTTCAAATATCTTGCTAGATATTGATGTAAGCGAAACAGGACAATAGTTGCTCGGGACACTCCTATTGCCCTTCTTAAAAATTGGTGTGATGTTAGCCGTTGTCCAATCTTTGGGAAGCTGTCCAGTATCAAGAGATTGTTGGTAGATGAATGAAAGGATAGGCGACAGGACAGGAGCTGCAATTTTCATTATTCTTGCTAGAATCTGATCTGGACCTGAAGCCTTGTCTGGTTATGTCTTAGAGGAGTTTCCGTATGCCCTTCTCCGTGACGGCTATGTCTGGCATTTCAGGTGGTATAGAAGGGTGTCAGGCTGTATAGACAATCGGTCGCACAGCCTGGTCGGGCTACCCCAACCCTAGCTATAGATTTCCCTTACGTATATCCATATACCACAGTTCACTCTTGGGTACACTACCAATAACGGAAGGTGTACTTCTTTGTCACTGCCAGTATCGATAAATTCAGAAAAATAGTGTACACAGACAAGCGAGTTAACGCAGGAATTCTAGGATACCACAAGCACAACATAAACTGTTTCGTACGTTCGGTAATAATCTATTAATTATCTGACCGATTTTTGACTAAAGTCCTATAGTTATACTTATCTTAGCATTAATTCATGGTATTGGTATTGATCTGCTAAGTTTAACAGAGACACTGTCTCTACAGACAGTAACACCATGATTATGATGATGTACTACTGACTAGTGACTACTGTCCATCACTAGTGATAGCAGTGTCACTGTCGCTGAGAGGGTCTATGTCCCCCGGGGTACTGCCGGAACGTACCCTGGGTACGGTCCGGTATACCGGAACGTACCCTGGTACTATCTAATATGCCGAACCGTACTTCGCCTACTCCACTAACGAGTCTAGGGAGTCGCCTACGCCTACTCCCTAACGCGAACCCGAACCCTAACCCTAACCCTAACCCTAACCATATCAAATAGTGACCAGGGTACGTTCCGGTATACCGGACCGTACCCAGGGTACGTTCCGGCAGTACCCTGGGGGACATAGACCCTATGAGCGTCACTGTCAGTGTGGACAGTGACACTGTCACTACTCCCCGGGCACTATGCCTACTAGACCGAATAATTCTGTCCCATATAACCTTTTTTATATTTTGGTGAGGGTTATTGGACCACAATAACCCTCACCAAAATATAAAAAAGGTTACATGGGACAGAATTATTCGGTCTAGAGGCCTACTGACTCAGTGACTGAGTACATACCGCAGTGACCGCACTTCAATCTATGAATCTATTTCACTAAACGAAGGTATGCAAACATGTACATTTGCATGTCACTATGGCTACCTTTTCTACACAAGCTGTTTCAACAATAACCGTGCATACTTATATTATTCTTAGGTATAAATCAGAAATACGGAAAATCGCCAAAACACTTGAAGATTTATATCTTTCCACTAGGTGGCGCTCTAACAAGAGGCTACACTTGTTTTCGCAAAGCCACCTGGGAAAACACAAACGATGGCGGTGCAAGTGAACTGGAGTTTTGAACGTGCTGTGCAAAACGTTAATGGTTTGGAAGATACAACCTCAAAACGGACTGAATTTGAAAAGCAAACAGCGGATGATCCAAATATGACATATCGGCCGCAATTTCCAGACGAGGGAGAAGAGCTGGACGATGAGAAGCGGAGACGAATAACCGATGCGAAACATGAGTTTTTTAACGGTCGTCAGATTTTGATCGGGCATCTTCCACGGGACACTACAGAGAAGGTAAGCGTCGAATACTAGTACAAATACTTCTACAATACTAGTTGTAATAAGTAAGAAAGTACGTGTATAGATTGCCCCAACATTGGACCTAATATCTAGCCACAAATATTTAGTTTTCAGTAAACCACGCGACCGATGCTTGGCGTCTGACGATTTCATACAACAGGTTTTTTGATAAAAAGTCACATCCTTCTTTAGTATAAAACCGCCCACCGTTAAATAAATAATTCGCCTCCTGGTCAGGGAGATATTATATGTGAGATATTCTTGAGAACTGCATCAAGATGTGTCCTGCCGACTCGATCGTAATGGTGATGGCCGATGGGTGTATGTCCAGATAGTAAAACTAAAACTTAAAATGTCAACATTCTCACAAGCATACAGCGTGTCCAGTTTACACGACCACCGCCCACCTAATAAACTTCAGAGCCACTCACAGAATAAAGTGTTGATTGTCTTGTGGTTGTGATTTGTTTGCCAGATATAATGCAAAGGCGTGAATCGATATTTCTTATACTTATAGCGTACAAAGGCAGCTGACACTGAGAGGGTCTATGTCCCCCGGGGTACTGCCGGAACGTACCCTGGGTACTGTCCGGTATACCGGAACGTACCCTGGTACTATCTAGTAATATGCCGGACCGTACCTCGCCTATTCCACTAACGCGTCTAGTGAGTCGCCTATGCCTACTCCCTAACCCGAACCCTAACCTTAATCCTAACCCTAATCCTAACCCTAACCCTAACCATATCAAATAGTGACCAGGGTACGTTCCGGCAGTACCCTGGGGGTCATAGACCCTATGAGCGCAGCTGACTGCATCCCCATTGTAGGATTTGAATACTTGTGTCGTCATAATGATGATAATTGGGAGTGACCTCCAATGAAACAGTAAGATGAAGCTGCTGCATTATCGATTCCGATGCTGTCTTCATTCTGTATGTAATGAACTCATTTTGAGCTCATTCATGACCAAAATATTAATTATACACAAAATTAGGTACAAGTCTTTCTTTACATTGGATTTAACCGTGCATTCACATCACATACATTGCTTTCAAATCACAGCACAGGGCCGTAGTGGCCGCCACGGCAGCACGGCACTGCCGTTGCACCATTTTGACAAAAAAAAATTGTGCAGGGAACCAAGGACAGACCTGAAAATGGGTCTCTGGAAATAAGTTTGTTAAATGTGGTATGCTCTGGAACAGGCTATGTTTGAAAATGGGGGTCTCCGGAACTAGGATTTCGTTGAAATTCAATGCTATGAAACTGGACACGTTTAAAAGAGGAGGTGGCCGGAACTGTGGGGGGAACAATGATTTGCTTTAAAATCTATGCTGTAGCACTTGAACCAATAATTGTTGTATTATGTAGAGGAGAGAAAAACATGACCCGGAGAGAGATGAACGCACACATACACACACACACACATACACACACACACGTTGCATGCATGCCTTCACGGCCCGGCTTCAACGTATTCTGAAGTACGATGCACTGGAACGGAAATATTAAAAACTATATTATTTTTCATAATTATGTACTGATAGTATATACAATTTTGTAAACAG